GTAAAGTTGAAAGTAACTTCTTGCTGATTATACTATAGGGCTATTGTTTGTTAATCTGTCAAGTAAACCTACATGTAACTTTACTCAGAGGTGAAAATATCGGCCCTAAATAAAACTATATGAAGTTAATTTAATTACGAGTATTAAAGCAACAAAAATAAAAGAATAGATGGTCCTGTGTTTAGCGTTCTTGCCTTCCACAGTAAAGACTCGAGTTGGATTCTCGGATAGGACAAAATGAAATAAACTCTTTTCTTTTTTTTTTTTCGTTTATTTTATTTTAAAAACTATTAAAAGTCATATATTATTTTAAAATTAGTTATTTTGTCTTAATATCCTAAAATATTTTTTTATTTGTAAATTTTCGTGAGTGCGTCGTAGAAAAAATATTCTGTACAATTTGTGAGGATTGTCCTCATCGCACTCAGACGATATGGCCATCATATCCACTCTTGTTGCACAATAGTAGTTTGTGTTGCAAGAGTGGATGGTCATATCGCACGAAGACGAAATTTGGGCACGACGTCGTAGGCGGAGTGCTCAAGAGTCCTAGTGCGATATGGATAATCCGTTCGAGTTATACAGTATATTTTTTCTACGACCCAGTAACGGAAATCTACAAATTTAAAAAATATTTTGGGTTATGAAGACGAAATAACTAATTTTAAAACAATTTATGAATTTTACTGATTTTTAAAAAAAAATTAATATAAAAAAAATTAGTTGCCAGCCGAGAATCGATCCCCGGCTTCTTGCGTAGAAGTCAAGCACTCTGTCCATGCCTTTACGTCCACTTTTACGATTTTTGTTCTACTTCTCGTAATTAAAATAGTTTTATATAGTTTGATTAAAATTTATTTTTTTTAAAATATGGTGCAAATAAAAATAGAAATGCTATTACTTAGGTTATCTATCGATTCTACATAAAAATAACTCATTTTAATGTATATTTAATCTTAATCATTAAAAAATATACTGACAATTAGTTTGACTGGATTGTCACTTATTCAAAATTTTAAAAATAATAGCAGTTGGGTGTCCAAATATGAATTGGTGGATTTTTTTTGTAGTGTTCTCACTACGTAGAATGGATATGAAATATATTCGTTCAGTTGAACGCAATAACATACTTTTTCGTTTTGAAGTCTGTGCGTAGATAAGCTAATCTCCATGTGGGTGTAGAAAAAATGTTATTCGCACAACTGGAGTGTTAATTTTTTGCAGTAAATAATAAACGAACAATTTCTAAATTGAAGTTCTATGCATATTTTAAAAATAAGTTAAATTTTCGTTCTGGTATTCATTTCATAGAGAGTTACGGTAGTTTATTAAATATTGAAACCAAAAATGTCATGTCTACAAAAAAATTGGACATGACTATTTACCATGTTCTTTGTCGCCGGACATCTGTTTAATCAATAAATAATTTCACAATTAATTCTGTAATTTACTTTATTCTCGGATTTTTATTTCTATTTGGCAACATCGCAAAACTATCACTGCTCGAGATACACCCAAGTGGGTAGATTCAGAAACTTTAATTCTATTTCTATTCGTACCGACTGGATTAATGTTTTAGGAGCCAAATTTAAAAATATTCATGTAATTAAAACGTTAATATTTACTTTTACAATTTTTCAGGGTTTAGAATAAATCGTAGATGGTATGAAAAGCATTAAATAGTTATAATAACAGGAAATACGCTAATTTTGTACGTTGAAAAAGTTTTAAAGAAAATTTATTTTGAAATGATAATGTTATTATTTATAAAAAACTGTAAGTTAAAAACTTTTGTCAAAATTCTCCTAGTACAACAATGGAATATAGAATGCATAAAATAATTTTGAAAAAAAAAGATAACTTTTTACTTACTTGAATTTTTGAACAAAATATTTTTATTTTTCAAAAACGAAATGAAATATACCTTAAAATCATGTAAAAACATTGTACTTTACCAAATGGCACCTGTACCAATCCCAATCCTAAGCAAAGTGGCTTAAAATAGTTATTTTATGTTAAAAAAATCACATAATTTTGTTTGCCCTTAATGCGTTTCAGAAAATAACATTTAAATATATCTTGATATATATCGTTAAAGGGAAATATTTCATCGCACAAAAACATCTATCCACGATTAGTAAGTAAAAGCCATTAAAAATATGAATCACTTTTTGCCGATTTAAAAATTTATTTGTATGCCTATTGCGTTGTGATTCATTTTTACAGGTTTCCATAGAAACGACAAAAAAACTATTATGATTATGGTTTAAAAGAATTTTCTAACAAGAGTTTATAATTATTATTGACTGTCTGCAAATGGTTTATACAATAATGCCATCCTTCTTCCTTTCATACATACACATGGTTTAAAAGGTAGGTACAAAAATTAATAATACAGGTTTAAAAGCTAGGTTCACAATGAATTAGGATTGTAATTTTCAGGGAAAATACAATTGTCGCTGTCATGTCTTAAGTGATTTTTTTAATATAAAATAATTTTTTTTAACCACTTTGCTCAGGATAGGGATTGGCACAGGTGCAATTTGGTAAGGTACAATGTTGTTACATGCCCTTGGAGCATATTTCATTTCGTTATCATATGACGGTCGAAATTTGCAGTGGGCTCTCATACTAATTTCAATCCTATTTAAGAAATTGTTTCAGTTCCCAGGAATGAACAAGAAGCCAGTTTATATAAAGGTTATTGGAAACAACATATCGAAGTAGGTACTAATTAAAACAAAAATAAAAAAACTGGAAAGTCGGAAAAGACGTTTGAAAGTGAAAAAAAAAAATAAATTGGTAATTTTAAAGAGAAGAAAAAATAAATCAGAAGAGAACTGTTTAAACAAAACTTAGTGGTCAATATGTTTTGGTTTTGTCTTCACAACCAATCACTCTTGAAAAAAACATATTGAAAAATAAAATTTAAAATAGGTACGTATGACAATTTAACTATAAGAGAAACAAAATCTTGCCTTAATATAAGAACAACGGTGTTCTGTCTCACTACTTTAAAATCTTAGTTATTATTGTTCTGATTCGAACGGGAAAACATTCTTGCTACTGATAGGTAGCGTCATGTAGCAGCGGATTTTAATGCGATAAATCCTCTTGTTCAGGGGGTTGCAACTCAAGTGGAAAAATAAGAGAAATATAATTTAGTACAACTTCAATTAACAGGATGGTACTCGTGTCGAAATGACAGGTCAGTCAGTTGTCAGCTTGTCCCACAAAATCAAAGTATGTGGCTTGTCCAAATCTTCAAGCTTCAAGAATTAAGTTGACTGTTGAAGTTGAATGTGTCTTGGATTTTGATTAACCTAGATATATTTTAACTACCATCCAAATTTAATCATCTTTTCTTAAGATGGGTTTTAGCAACGAACAATAAAGTACTCAAAGATATTAGTAGTGATGGAATTTATACATTTTATTGAATATGTGGTCTTTATTTTAAAGGTAACTAAAAAAATAGAAACAACCTCTAAGAAAAATTAAGTACTTTCATTTTTTGCTTCACTAGTAATATTTGCAAATTGGTTTTTGATTCTGTGTTAAAATAATATTGGTTTATTTTAATTTTCTTTTGTTTAAGATTTTTATAATTATTCTTACTGTAAAAAAAATGTTGACTCCAAAATACCCTATCGTGAAATCTGTGAGCCTCAACCTCAACCATAAACATAAAAAATTGATTCAATGCCATTGACATCAAACAAGTAAAAGTATTGCAAAAAACTTCAAAACAGATGTAAGCTTCAGTGGCGTCCTGTTTTTAATTAAATTAAATTTCATTATAGGGGTCAAAGGGATGCGGAACCCTTCTAAAAACTGATAGTATTAAAACAATTTTAAACGTCTTTAACTCCATTTTATTGGTCATTGAATACTTACATTTCATGTGCATTTTCATAAAAATATGTTAAGCCTTTTAGGAGTAAAAAGAAACAACCACTTTTAAAATTTCTACTTTAACACCCTGTAAGTTTTTTTGATACAAGCAAGTTAGCTTAAATTCACTTATTTTCTATATTTACTGTAAGTCTTTTTGTTACACCCAGTATATTAAGTGTTTAAAAATACAATGCATTTTATTTCAAGTTTAAAACTAATGCAAAAATATAATGAAATAAAAATATGCAAATATTGTTTTATTATTTGAAACTAGTCAAAATAATCCAATTAACTTTTTTGTTCGATATTTTTTCCTAGCTAGCAGAAAGTTAGTACCACTCCAATTTGATAGATGGTAGCACATAGTCAGAATTTTACCACTGCATTTCCCAACTATTAATGTATAATGTCATATTCACCATTATTTCGTTTACATTTCTTCTTTTTTCTAAAAGATCTCTAAGTGAAGGAGTAAAAATAGGGCAAGTTAAATATTTTACGTTCTTCAATAAATTTACTGGTTATGTATTTCACGAAAAAATATAAGTAGTTTTGTATGTTTTCCTCAACAAAATTAATTAATATTATTCTTTTTTAGTTTTTGATGATTACCTAGTCAAATAAAATTACAGTATTGTGTAAGACAATGATTTGGACCAATACCACTTTCAAATTAAAAAGTACTTATCTTTTGTCATCTAGTTTATAGATTTGGATACCCTGTATAACGATATTTAAATTTAAATCAAACACAAAGTACATTTACAAACATTTTATTAAAGCATCGAAACTCAACATTCATTTTTAATAACTATAGAAATGAGATTTTTATGATTAAATCGTAGTAATAACTATGCCTATAAAACCGGACAGTGTTAAGGTTATTGCCTTGCATCAATACGATTTTTTCGATCCACAGCTTCCTCCGTCTAATCACCAAACATAGACATACGATCCAGATTGATCGGTACGTTTACGAGTACGTTTACCGAAAAAATCGTACTGTTGCATTTACAGATTGCACTTTATTCACAACGGATTTAAGAGAATTTATATATACAAATTATCACAGTCTGTAATGAAGAATTATCGTATTAATAAGTTATACGACTGATTTACTACTGGTGTACAGCAGCAGCTCCTAATCTTTGTCCATACATCGAATACGCCGAGTAATAAGGACTCATAGTTGGATTGAACGCACTATAAGGTGAAGCTGCCAAGGAAGCCGATAACGCAGGCTTGCCATAAGGATGATACCTTGCTGCAGATAAAGGACTCAACGGAGGATTCGGATATCCTGGTCGATGTAATCCAGCAGTCGAAAACAACGAATGGTGATTGAGCAACGCGGAACTAGCTGCAGAAATAGCTGGATCTGTACCGTTCGTATGCGTACGGAGGTGCTGTAAAAGTTCTTCAGACGTAGTAAACCGTTTACCACAATAAGTATCCCCAGCGATCCAATTGCAAATATACGGTCGTCCTAAATTTGAATACGCTAACGACGGTACCGGACCAGGTGGTACTAAACTCATCGCCATTGCTAAATTGTATTTCTGATGATCGCATTGGGTGCAACCAGACGGACAAGGACCAGTAAGTTGTAACTGTTGATTCTGTAAACTAAATTGACATCCCGTGCAGTAGGGATCTTTACACACCGGCACTAAGGCTTCACCGCCTGACGGTGTTTTAACTCTAGCGTAGCTTAGATACGGCCCTTGGGTCGTACCGGGATAACCAGCCGCGAACATAGCTGCGTGTTGAGCGCTGAACGTAGCTCCGGGAAAAGGCGGTCTAAAAGCCGGATTGGTCTGTTCTAAGCCCGGAGGGCAACACAACGCACTTAAATGATTGTTTAATCCACTTAATCCCGAAGATAAACCGGGTTTGTAAGTACCGAGAGGAGTGTCTTTAGGATGCCCTTGCAGGATTTCGAGTCCCGATCTGATAATTGGGCTAGCACTTCTACCGGATGGAGTACCGCATTTTTGCTCCGGTGATGTCTTTCCCGTTTCCGGATTTGGAGTAGCTGATAAGTTAGTTGAAGGCGATGCCGTTTTCCTACCCGTACTATGACTGTCTGATTTTCTATCGTCGTGAGGTATACTATTTTCCGAACACGGACGAATTTCTTCTTTTTTTGTTAGGACGTTGTTTTCGTAAGGTTTGAAGGCCAGTTTTTGCTCGCTAGGTGTTATCCTCGGCGAGGATTTGTCTGGTTTATCTTTCGCTGGAGGTGTACGGGAGTTTTCGCTGTTGGACTTTTTGGATTTGTCCAAGGGGGATAGAAGAGCCTTCGTTGAGGGTGTGTCCGCTCCGATTTGGCTGCAGGTCTGCGCCAGGAGGGCTAAAGGGCTCTTTTTTGCGTCCAACTGGAAAGAAAGAATTAATTATTAATATAAAAATATTTAATGAAACTATAGATTTATTTCAATAATACCGTTCTGAAATTGTGTGCGCATATATAGTATGATTTAATTGTTTCAACAAAAATTTTGATAGATTTGTAATTTATATCACTGTTTCAACTGAAAATTGAATCATTAATGAACCGTTCTCAAGGAGTCTCAGATTTGTTAGTTCTCGCATGCGCACTGCATCTTTATGCATATGGTTTCTTGATTTTTTTTATTAAAGTCCTGCGGTCGTATTTATTGCAAATATTTTTTAATACTGTTCTGCAGAGTACAGATCTGAATAAATTTTCGCGCGTGCGTGCTCAGAAACATAGTCCATTACTGAGTTATGAACTGTTCGGAATTCTATAAAAAAAGGTATTAACTTGATATTTAAGGCCAGTAAAGGGCTGGATTTAAGGGTGATTTCCTGAACGGCAAAATATTCTAAGATATACATTAAGTAGAGGGGATAAATGTAATAAAAATTATATAAGGAAAATTTTATTTACTTGCAATTTAAGCCAGTAAAGTGTTTAATAAAAGAGCTGAATTTAAGGGTGATTTCTTGCCTGGCAAATTATTTAGAGATATATATTAAATAAAAGACATAAATACAAGCTAATTTATTTATAAAAAAATGAATTTACTTGCAACTTAAGCCAGTAAAGATTTTTTAAATTTTTAATATAACGAGTTAATTTGAGGGTAATTTGCAGCTCGGCAAAATATTTTGTAGAGAACAAGTGTTTAATAATAATAATAATATTTAATTTACTTATTTAAAATTAATTCTGATGCCTTGGTAGGATTCCACACTCGACCATTCACTGTTGGGTTCTAATTAACAGTGCTGTTCCTAAAGTGGCGCTGGGAAACAGTAACAAAGCCTACAAAGAACACGAGGCTAATGGCAACAGTAGTCGATGCCGATGACACAAAATTAAAAAAAAATAAGGTCTTGATTTGAGGGTAAATAAATTTTTGTTATTTAAATACATACAATTTTTTGCAGTTTGTTTACAATAAATTAATTCATGGCCCAGTCATGGACTCATAACCCAGCTATGGATTGATTACCGCTGTCTCTTTGGTTCCCGACGTCCAACTCATGGCTAGAACTCGCGGCTGTTGTCACACCAGTAATATTAAACATAAAAATACATTTAAACTTTTATTTACAACTAATAATATCTCTGTATCTAGACGAGGGAGATGTGGGTTGCCCCACATCACTTAGGCATCACTTAGACCATTACGCATCCTCCAAAAACTTAATTACAATAATTATGCAAAAACTATATAAGATTTACCTTTATAACATATAAATAAAAATTTACTAATAACGACAGGTAGGAAAACCGTTCATTTTATCTATAAAACTGATATACTCTAGTTCAGAACAGCTTTCATCCGTTCTTAGAGAAACAAATTAAAGAATATACACTAGTAATTATCGAGGTACCTAATTTTTTTTTTTTTGGTGTGCCATCGGCTTCCACTGCTAAGGTTATTTCGCCTCGTGTTATGTGTAGGCTTTGATACTGTTTCCCAGCGCCACTTTAGGAACAGCACTGTTAATTAGAACCCAACAGTGAATGGTCGAGTGGGGAATCCTACCAAGGCATCAGAATTTATTTTAAATAATTAAATTAAATGAAAAAATCCCGGCCAACGGTGGGATTCGAAGAGGTACCTAATTACTAATTATTTTGTCAGGCTTTACACTCATTTTTCCACTAGTGTTAAATCCATATTCACCAACTGACAGCAATTAAGTACTTTATTTTACTGACTTAATATCAAATATTTTAAAAACTGTGCTATTTCAAACCTTGTGTTTTGTTCAATACTGTATTTTTATAACTTTTTATGTATCTATATTGACCACAGCTAAATAATCAATAAAAAGCAAACTGTTACTAAAAGCCAAATAAATATTGTTCCATTAATTTTTTAGTTTCCTATTAGGTATATATCTCTCTAATATTTTTTTATAAAATAATATGGTGAATGAAAGTTTGTATGTTAAAACACTGGTGGGTCGCTGAATCTTGATTTAATATACCTACAATTTTTAAATAATTTTCAACAAGTTATACAAGAAAATTAGAAATAGAAGTGAATGGAATTCACAACATGTAAAACATTTAAGTAATATTAACTGTGATTTAATTGCATCAATGTAAGATGAATCTGCTAAGGGCTAAAACTACATAACAATATTTATTTCTTACTTATTATTAAACTGTCTTGATGTTATTAAAACACCTAATTTTAGATTTGAGTGTTTATCTGTTACAATGAGAATAAAATTGTGTTCAGTTTGTGAAACTGAGCTAAACAAATTGGCATGTGATGCCAAAAAAATAGTTTAAATTTAAACTCTTGGTCTCAAAGATGTAAATGTATATTGTTTAAATTCGAATCGCCTTAAGATATATCTTAAAATCAAATTTAATCTAAATTTATATTAAAATATTTTATAGGGAATTTGGATATTTATTAGGATATTAACAGATTTAAGAACGAAGGAAGAGCTAAAAAAAAACATTGTCAAAAATATATAACATCCGCAGACCTGTAAAACGCAGTTTGTCCGAAATTTTAGTTTTTTAACTATAGATGGCGATACAATATTGAATTGAATAGCTATCGTTTTATAAAATCTTGGATGTACAAATCGCATTATATCTTGCTTAAAATGTATTGTGAAAACCACTTGGACATGCAAAATGCATCTAGTCCATCTAAATCTCCGTAACTAAGGCCGTTTCCAAGCACCAGTTTTTTGTCATTCCTGAAAATTTACAATTTTGGACAAACTGCGTTTTGCATGTCTGCTCCTAAAATTATTTTATTTCCAGGACATAAAATACATTTCTTCCTAAAGGAAAATTCTACTTTAAAGAAAATATTGCAAAGGGCCAAGTCTGGACTATATTGCGGTTTCTTCGGTAATGTCTGTTTAAAAGTAATTTTCGGTTACCTTTTGCAACACTTCTGTCAGAGTGTTCACTGAATCTGCAGTGGTGGACTTTAATAAACAAGAAATTTAATAATGTACGTTATCGCTAAAAGCCTTAGCTTAAATTGTAGCAAATCGCTGACAACATCAAATTTATTTACTTTTGATAGAGATTTAATAATAATAATAATAATATTCTTTTTGTCTTTCTATAAAGAGGAAATGGTGGGTTGCTCCATATTATATAGGCCCGTTGTGCATCTTCCAGAGGCCTCCCATCTCATCAAAAACCTGCTGATTGTAGCTGAGAGGTGTCTAGATTGCAGCCAACCTCGCAGCTAGTGTAAGTCCTCATTTTTTTGCAAATGGCCATTTTGCGGGCTTTTACCATCCAAATGATAAACGCTCGGGTGAAATAATTATGTCCGCCGGCTCCACAGGGCGTAATAATATCCCTTACAATTCATCTTGACTTATATATTAGGCAATCAATTGTTTTTAGTAAAGAAAACTTTTTTATTAAAATATAAAAAGGCTTCCGGCATTAAGCAATCCTCTTTGTTTATTGTCAAGCAAAAAGACATCCGTTATTAAATTATTGTAGAATACTAGTTAAATAAATCACCATTTAAAATTATTTATTTAATTCATTTGTTTAGAATTAAAATTTTCAGCATTTTACCCATTTCCTAATCAAGACAAGGTGGTGATTACAAGTATCACCTGTTAAATGTTGCATACTATACACGTTTTCTATGCTGATCTAAGCTACGTGCTCATAGCAGCTAACTGCATTTGGTTTCTTTTAATAAATTGTTTTGTTTGCTTCTAAAGCACCTTCCTTACTCTTCAATCTACTGCTACCATTGCATGACAGTAGCGGACATGCGCATTACTGTTTACACAAAAACACCTGGTTGTAATAAACTCTTGGTTTGATCCAGCACTTATTATATCAGAATTGTGTGATAAATAAACAAGTTTGAAAGTATATTGACTCGCAGATGATAAACAAAAACGAAGAATTGTTTTATTTCAAATTAGCTGACTATGAAACAATTTTTAAATTTAGTAAATACCTATATATCCAATCAATTATCTTTGAAATTGCTAATGTATTCTGTTGTATTTCTTCTTCCCAATTTGTTTTATCTACCTGGTACCTAATGTCCATTTAAAAGTAACGTCAATGTTAGAAAATATATAATGTTTTACTGACATTCTTCTATTTTTATAAAATTGTATCGCTTCTTTTGCCAAACCTTTTTCACTAAGTCTATAAACAATACAATTTGTAAGAATGATCGCGTAGAATGGTGACATAAATAACATTATCTTTTTTAATTTCTTCATTTGTTACTTACTGAAACTTGTTTTCTTATAAAATTGTATCAATTCTACACCCAAGAAATTTTACATTAAACTTGTATTATCTATACACAACTATATTTAAAAAAAAAATGAAAGTGAAGAATGGCGACAGAAATAGATTGCCAGAATCCGACGGACACCAGTCAGACCAAATTGAATCTAATTTACCAGATATTTTGCAACTGTACAATTATTGTTTGCATAATTCCTTTGCAAAACGGTAAGTTAGGTACCTAATTATCTAATTAGTACTTAGAATTGTTAGTAAATTTTTAGATATGACCAAAGATATGTTATTGCTTATATATTAATGTAGGTACATTTAAATTTTTTGCATTACGTACGATAATTATACCTAAATAGAGACGATACTTTTGACAAAAGAGTTAATTATCTAAAATTAGGTAATTCGTGTAAAAATATGATATAAATAAATCTGTTACTACTTGTATCAAAATAGGTTTCAGAGTAGATTGAATCATTTTCGGTTACGTATTGATGTGTAGTGGTGATATTTTTTATTCTATTGTAGTTAATATAATTAGAATAAAGTACTTAATTGAAATAAAAATGTCATTAAAGTGGAAATAAAAATGTTATTAAAGTGGATATAAAAGTTTATTTACCATTGGTTGAGACTGAACCGCGTTTTCCGTTACGTATAATGTAATAGCACTGATATTATTTATTATCTTATAGTAAATATATTAAGAATGAAGAAATTTGCAAAAAAAATATTGCATAAAAGTGTTACTAACGCGGATCTGAAATTATATTTAACATTGGTGTATGTCTAATGATGTTTTCAGTTGTATTCTTGATAATTACAATCAAAATTAAATACTTACAGTGGTAGGAAGAGGTGAAAGGTAATCCGGTTGTAAATATTGATTGCCCGTTGAAGAGAGCATACTGCCACCGTCCAACACGACCATTTGCCCTAACTAAAACAGTCCACGAACGCACAAAATACCAAATATTCACTATAATATATTATCAAAATAAAAACGGACCAACACACAAGTTCAATCACTTTCAACGTCTCACTTCGTTATGAAGCCAGGTTGAAAACGGAGCCGAGAGTGTCAGCGATTGGTAGCGCGCTTGCGCTCTGTGATTTCCTTTCGTCTCTTAACCCGTAAAGCCGTAGCATGACAAAGCGTTAATACCGCCACGTTGGTATCCTGTCGGCTCCTACCACCCATGAAGCTGGTGACGATGACAGACCCTCTGGACACTTTGAAGTCGGGCCGACGATGTTTCGGTGCCCAAGAAGGTTCCGAGTAATCAGTAGCATACAAAACATGAAATAGAATAACAAATAATACGAATGGAACAATATGATGATGGAAAAGATAAAGAGACGAGGCGGCATATCTAGATATATTAGAGGCAGTCGATCATAAAGTCGGGGGTTTGGGTTATTGCCAGGCTTTATTTATTTTATAGATACGTCTGTTATTCCTGTCATAACTTACATAAACGTGTCAGTGTATTTTACCTGGTTTGTGACAGCGCCGACGGTTGATTTGCATTTTTTATGGTGAAAAGGAAATGGTTAAAGGCTATATTAAAATTTAGTTAGCGACTTTATTGTTTATTTACGACCGGGCTTTTAAATGCATTGGCGTGGTATCGGAAGAAGATGGTAGGTACATTAGATTACGCTGCATAGGACTGGAATAAACATCTCCTTACAACTTATTTTAATTAGATAAGTCTTAAGTCTTGTTTACGGCGTAGTGGCTGTGTATTATACTCAGTGTATTATAACCATCGTTGTTTCTAGGCATTATAATCTGGGTAGGCCTGGGAGAGGTGTGTTGCGGTAATTGATCATGATGACCGAAATCTCAATCGAAATAATAAAATAATAATTTGTACTTCACAGTCATATTTTTCGTTTAAGTTCAATTGGGTGTGGTATTCCAGGTATTTCCAGGCTTTCCCCTACAAAAGTCGCTCAGACGACTTCAGGGGTTGAAATTCACTTGTATGGGGCTGAATTAGGGAGAGTATTATTACCATTATAAAATTATTAATTAACATTCAGAATCAGGTACCATACAGAAAGTATTATTATGTTAACAAAATAATCAAAGATTGAAATCAACAATTAAAATTTGTATCAGCCTAGGAAAACGTTTAAATGCGAAACAAGTTGAGAAGGTATTTTTGGGAGGAATTTAACTAGAATGAAGATATATAATAATGCTTGACATTCTATATTATATTCTTCACAGTTTAACATACCCTTCTTCACCCCCCTTTCTAACAGTTTTTTAAATTAATAGGATTTGTCCCCTTATAGAGTTTGATCTTTGCCTAAAATTTCAAGTTGATATTTTTGTTCGTTTTTGAGTAAGGATTTTTTTTTATATTTCGACTCCCCAAGGCCTCATTTTTATTCAGATTTATGTCAGAATATATATAGGCTTCATATTCTTATAGAACTAGATTTAAATACTTATACTAAAAAATTCATTTTGATATCGCTTTTCGTTTTTGATTCATATATTATATGATATGATTCATATATTATATATATTCATATATTTCGACCCTCGCTGACTCCTTAATTTTTAATCACATTTTATAGAGCTTGATTTTGCCAAATATTTCAAGTTGATATTGTTCACAGACTTCTTACTGTGTGAAGAGTATAATAACGTCGGGAACAGTGGCGGCTCGTGGTAATTTAAAATGGGTGTTCACGTTTTCCAATAATTTTATCATATGTAAGTTATTATTATTTGAGTTTGTATTAAGTGTAGTTATTATTATCAACATCATACTGTTTTCAAGTACTATAACTAATAATAAATTAATATTTTAGTTAGTGTGATATTTGTTTTGTTTTTAATACGTTGAAAACCATCTATAACCATTATTAATTAGTAAACTGACTTTTCTTCATAATTTGAAATTATTTTTAAATATATATCAGGTTATGTAGAAAGCTTGACATTGTGTAAAAAAAATTATATGAAACTTTACCTACCATTTTTAAGTGTTTATTGTAAGTTTAATAATTTTCACAATTTGTCACAGATGTCACATCTTAAAATATTATCACACTTAATTCTCCATATGACCCTTTCTAAATGTATTTCACAGCACATTCCAAAGTATTCTTGCTTTCACTCTGTCCTATACCCTTATGGCAGACTTTTGCATGTCCATGTTCACTAAAAAATAGTGTGTTTTAATAAATAAGAGAATAATAGTATTTTGTCTAAATAGGTAAATCGGCTTCATCTGTATTTTTAAATTATTATTTAATTGTAGATAGTATATTAATGTTTTTATATGTACTTATAGGATTGATTAGCCAGATCATGTAGATATGTGGGATGTGACTTGTTAAGTGCCTAATTAAAATCATAATTTATGTTTGATACTTATTGCTTTTTTCGAGGCATACTTTATTACCAACTGTAAACTAATTTACCAACAGCCTCATTTTTATTTAATACCTGCAGTGATCCAAATTACCATAACATCTAATATTTTTGAAAATACTAAATTATACAAACAAGACAATAAAAAAATGTCATTAAAATAAAAGATTTCTAGTTTGTATGCAACAAACGATCTAGGCTAAATGGCAACACCATTGATAATTACAGGCAAACAACTTTATATAAGTAAAATATTTAAATGTACATACCATTTCTTAGGTAAAATTGCTCATCCAGTATATTAAATTAACTGGTTGATCCTTTTTTCTGATTCAGACTTTTAAAGTGAAAAACCATTTGTCTCTTTATCTTTATCAAATTTTTATTGTACATTTCCATAATGATGTCTAGTTACCTCATCAGATTAATTAAATTTTTCCTTTTAGCGGGTGGAAAAAAATTACAAATTTTTTGCTTACTTCTTACTTCATAGTATTTACAATTGAGTACAAAATAGACCATTTTGAAGTAGTCTTTGGATGGTCTTAGACATTGAAACAAAATATAAAACAAATTACAGTTGTAAAACTTTGTGATAGGGTATAAAAATCAACATAACCTTAAAAATTTTAATTATCCTTATAGAAGTTTTTCGGGAATAATCGTTGAATTAGTTCAATTTATTGAAGACACAGTTCTTAACTAAACACATTTTCTTTGAAATAAGCATAATTAAAATAATCTTATGTTTTTATTTAAAGTATTTAATAGCAGAGCAGTTTGTTTGATTTGCTACAGTGTTGCCAGAATATGTTTTTGTTATGTACCAGATTTGTCTAAAAAATGTACCAGATTCCTTAAATGTATCAGATTTTTCGAATTATATTTGCAGTGACATCTAATTCATTGAAAGGGAAAAAAGGGGGTCTTTATTGATAACAAACCCAAACAAGGAACACAATATATATAATTTACACGTGAACACTGATGTACGCAGAAAGTACTACATCTAGTACAATTGTGAATTGTACGAGACTGGCAACACTGGTTTGGCAATCTTGTTTGTGAGCGGCGCGCCATTTAATGTGTTCTTCCACAGTTTGAAGGATCTGTTGGCGTGTTGTCTTCTCTTTTTAGCTATATGCATTCGGCATATCGTCTCACTCGTGTTAGGCTCACTCATCATAATGCGCCACAGACACAGTATACTTGGGTATACTGTGCCACACACTCAGAGGACAAATGATGTACCAAAAAATATAGATTAATACGCATGAAAATAAATATATTAAAATTAAATTTATATTTTTATGTTATTTATGTAATATTAAAATAATGTGTTTTTATGAAATTTAACTGGGTGTTCACTGCACAAATGAACCAATGGAGAAACCGCGCCTGGTCTCCTTTTATCAGGGACGGTTTCGGAAATATTTGAAAAGGAGCATTTAATTTCTTGTTTGCAGAGAAGGAAAGAATTTCGATAAGATGGAATAGTTACAGATTTTTTGAGTTCATTAGCGTAAATCGATATTGTAATTGTTGGAAATATGGACACAAAGCAGAAAAATGTACTTCATAAATAATTTGTCCATTATGAAGTGATCAGCACAAAAAAAGTCAGTGTAAAAGTAACGAATATTGTTGTACAAATTGTAAATATGCCTGTGACTTTCTAAAAATTAAAAATATAAAAACTGATCATCATGTTTTCGACAATGAATGTTCAAGTTATATTAGACAAATCTTAAAAAGTAAAGAAAAATAAATAACAATCAAAGCGAAGAAATAATAAGTTTCTTTCGTTATATTTTCAAAATGTTGGGGGATTACTTACGAAGCTAAAAGAACTACATCTTGCCGTTTCTATGACGAACTATTTCGTTATAATATTGGTGGAAACTTGCATGGCTTAACCATAATATCAGTGATGAGGAGTTGGGCCTAACTGGGTATAACGTAGTGAGAATGGACAGATGCTCTACTGGGAGTACTTTGGAACGAGGTGGCGGAGTCTTGATTGCAATAAAAAAGCACTTGGATACGCAACTAATAGTGCTTTCTCATTTAAATGTGGAAGAAGTTTTTGTGTCGTTAAAATGCGGTGATAAGGTTGTGGTTATAGGTGGAGTATACATACCTCCGGGATCTAATGCGCAAATTTATAATAATCATTCTCAAAGTTAATATTTTATTTTAGAAAATTTTATTGATTGCAATTTGATAATTTGTGGTGATTACAATTTACCCAATGTTTGTTAGGAAAATGACAATTATGGGCTCACTGCAAGATGCGAACACTCACCAGCTATCGAATTGTATAATCTGTTAAGTTTTTATAATTTATATAAAATTAATTCTATTTCAAATTCTAGAGATGTTTTTTTGGATTTAATATTTTCTACAAACAACTATTCAGTAACTTCTCCGATAGATGATTTGTTTGATAATAGTATGTATCATTCTTCAGTAAGTTTAGAGATAATTATTAACAAGACTAATTCAGTTTTACATTATGAGGAATATTTTGCAGATTACAAAAGCGGGGATTATGATGCGATAAACAATCATCTGGCTGGGATTGATTGGAATATTTTATTCAAAGAAAAGAATATCAATGACTGTATCCTCCTTTTACGCATTTTATATAATGCAATGAGTTTTATACCTTTAAAAAAATATAAAACGTCTACTTTCCTCCATGGTTTAACTCTGAATTAAAACAACTAATTTATGAAAAAAAGCAGCTTCATAAAACTTATAAAAAGTTCTGTCGTGAAGAACATTATATTCTTTTCTCTGACCTAAGAAATCATTGTAACGTGTTACGTGTTCGCTGTTACCAGAATTATTTATTGAAAATCGAAAACAGTTTATCAGATAAACCTCGTTTATTTTGGAAATTTATAAACAATAAAAAGCAAGTTTCTGGTCTCCCTTCTAATATGTTTTATGGCAATTTCAAAAGTAACGACATTCAAA